CAAAAAGAGGAGGATTAGCGTGGATGTTAACTCAGGGCTGATCTTCCTCACAAAAAAAAAAAAAAAAAAGAAAAAAGAAAGTACAGCCCAAAGGAAACAAATCAACAGAAATTGTTCCTGAAAAAGACCAGAGGGCAGATATACTAGACAAAGACATTAAAACAACTGTCTTAAAGATGCTCAAAGAACTAAAGGAAGATGTGGAGAAAATCAAGAAAATGATGCATGAACAAAATGTAAATCAATAAAGAGACAGAAAACCTAAAAGGAAACCAAAAACAAATTCTGTAGTAGGCCGGCCCGGTGGCGCAGCCATTGAGTGCGCCCGCTCCACTTTGTCGGCCCCGGGTTCGCTGGTTCGGATCCTGGGCCTGCACTGACGCACCGCTTGTCAAGCCATGCTGTGGCGGCGTCCCATACAGAGTGGAGAAAGATAGGCACGGATGTTGGCACAGGGCCAATCTTCCTCGGCAAAGAAGAGGAGGATTGGCATCGGATGTTAGCTTGGGGCTGATCTTCCTCATAAACAAAAAAAAGAAAAAAAGAAATTCTGAAGCTGAAGAGTACAACTGCAATGAAAAACTCACTAGAGGGATTCAAAGGTAGATCTGAGTAGGCAGAAGAACCAATGAACTTGAAGACAGGACAATGGAAATTATTGAGTCTGAGGAACAGAAAGAAAAAAGACTGAAGTAAAGTGAACAGAGCCTAAGGGACCTGAGAGGGACACCATCAAGCAGACCAACGTATGCACTGGGGAGTCCCAGAAGGAGAAGAGAGAAGGGAGTAGAAAGAATATTTGAAGAAATAATGGCTGAAGACTTGCCAAATTTGATGAAAGACATGAATATAAACACCCAAGAAGCTCAACAAACTCCAAGTAAAATGAACCCCAACAGACCCACACCAAGACACACTGTAATCAAACATTTGAAAGACAAAGACAAAGAGAGAATCTTGAAAGTAGCAAGAGAGAAGTGACTCATTACATGCAAAGGATCCTCCATAAGATTATAAACAGATTTCTCACCAGAAACTTTGAAGGCCAAAAAGCAATAGGCCAATATATTCAAAGTGCTAAATTAAAAAACTGTCAACCAAGAATCCTGTGTCTGGCAAAACTGTCCTTCAAAAGTGAAGGAAAGGGGCCAGCTTGGTGGCACAGTGGTTAAGTTTGCATGCTTCTCTTTGGCGGCCCGGGGTTCACCAGTTTGGATCCTGGGCATGGACCTATACACTGCTTGTCAAGCCAT